CCAATGTTTTGAGTAAAACATTGGTGGCGACTCCATGAACTTATTTTCAAAACCATTGATTAAGGATTAGTCTGGCGTCCGGGCATTTCTTAATCGATGAGATTTTCAAAAAGATGTCTAAACCATTAGTCGCGAGATCGGAAATTTTCGGGTTGCAACAGGCATGAGCTGAAGAGGGTCATAGTCCCTATGTCCATAGTGGAGTTTCCTGCCTTGGTTGAGAAGGAAAAGACTGTTGAGAGATTTGAGGGTGGTGGTAGTAGCGGTAAGGCTGCTAGAGTTCAGGAGGGATCATTTGGGTCCAGGAGGGGAGGCCAGCAGAGAGGACCCTATGACAGACCTGCACAGTCTCAGAGAGGTGCTGTTAATAAGGGACATCGTCCTGCTACTCCTCAGAGTGGAGCATAGTCGGTGCGATGCTACAGATGTGGAGGAGCACATGTGGTCAGAGATTGTTCCCATCCGGGGAATGTTTGCTTCAGATGTGGTAGGCCAAGCCACATCTCTAGAGATTTCCAGACACCGCCAACTTCATCTGGGAGTTTCCCGAGGCCACCCAGGCCTACAGCTGCAGGGAGAGTATTTGCATTGTCAGGTGCAGAGGCTTCCACTTCATCAGACTTGGTGAAGGGGAAGGGGAAGGCAGCAGGTGAGGATGTTTTATTTTTGTTCGACTCTGGTGCCACACATTCTTTCATTTTTGTTGATTGTGTGAAGAGATTGGGTTTGTCAGTATCTTCATTGTATGTTGATTTGTTTGTGTCTACTCCAGCTTCAGTTTCTGTGGTGACGTCGGAGATGTGTGTGAGATGCCCGATAGAGGTGTTTGGTAGGAGCTTCCGAGTGAACCTGATTGTGTTGCCCATGGTGGATATCGACATAATCTTAGGGATAGATTGGTTATCTGCCCATCACATCCTTATAGATTGTGCTCGAAGAGAGTTGGTATTTCCTCAGTTAGAGGATGAGGTGTTGGTATCAGCGGGTTAGGCTGAGCAGTTGATGAGGGATGGGGCTGAGTGCTTCATGTTGTTTGCCGCTTTGAGTGTTGAGACAGAGAGGGTATCACTGGGATTGAGATTGTTAGTGAGTTTTCTAAGGTGTTCCCAGATGATGTGTCGGGATTGCCACCTATGCGTGATGTTGAGTTTAGCATTGATCTAGTACCCGGTGCAGGACCAGTATCAGTGGCTCTTTATAGGATGGCTCCAGCTGAGTTAGTAGAGTTGAAGAAACAGATTGAGGATTTATTGGAGAAACAGATGGTGAGACCTAGTGTTTCTCCTTGGGGTGCCCCGATACTGTTAGTGAAGAAGAAGGATGGTGGGGCCCGTTTGTGTGTTGATTATCGGCAACTGAATAAGTTAACGATAAAGAATAAGTATCCGCTTCCGAGGATTGATGATTTGATGGATCAGTTGAGGGGAGCTTCTGTGTTTTCAAAGATTGATTTGAGATCTAGATACCATCAGATCAGGGTGAAGGAGAGTAACATACCAAAGACTGCTTTCAGGACTAGGTATGGTCACTATGAGTATGTAGTGATGCCTTTTGGTGTCACTAACGCTCTAGCGGTGTTCATGGATTACATGAACAGAATTTTCAGGTCATTCTTGGACAGGTTTGTGGTGGTCTTTATTGATGATATTTTGGTGTATTCTAGATCCTTGGAGGATCACCGTGAGCATCTGAGGTTGGTTTTTGAGGTGTTGAGGGAGAGACAGTTGTATGCCAAACTGTCCAAGTGCGAGTTTTGGCTGTCCGAGGTGAAATTTTTAGGGCATGTGATATCGGCAGAGGGGATTGTAGTGGATCCAGCCAAGGTGGAGGTTGTGATTCAGTGGGAGCCTTCGAGGACTGCTATGGAGATTAGGAGTTTTGTTAGGTTGGCGAGTTACTATCGGAGATTCATTGAAGGTTTTTCTCGAATAGTAATGTCTTTGACTCAACTGACCCGAAAGGATCAACCTTTTGTTTGGATGGACGCTTGTGAGCAGAGTTTTCAAGAATTGAAGGGGTGATTGACTACTTCTCCAATTTTGGTGTTACTTGACACTGGTGAGTATTTTTATGTGTTCTGTGATGCTTCTCACCAGGGGTTGGGCTGTGTGTTGATGTAAGAAGGGAGAGTAGTAGCGTATGCTTCGAGGCAACTTAAGACTCATGAAAGGAATTATCCTATTCATGATTTGGAGCTTGCAGCTGTGGTGTTTGCCTTGAAGTCGTGGAGGCACTATCTGTATGGTGCGAGATTCAGTGTATTTAGTAATCACAAGAGTTTAAAGTACCTGTTTAATCAGAAGGAGTTGAATACGAGGCAGAGAAGGTGGATGGAATTCCTAAAGGACTTTGATTTCCAGTTGATGTATCATCCTGGGAAGGTGAGTGTGTTAGTAGATGTATTGAGTAGGAAATCCATTCACGTGTCGGTTATGATGATTAGGGAGTTGGAACTGATTGATCAGTTTAGAGATTTGAGACTAGAGGTGGAGGTTGTTCAAGATCACATTAGTTGTGGTATGATCACCATAACTAATGAGTTCTTTAGACAGGTGGGAACTAAGCAATTACAGGATCCAAAGTTGTTGAGGATTTTGGGATTGCTTGGTACTGAGAGGGCACCTGGTCTTGAGCTTAGTGCTTTGAGCTTAGTGCTGATGGAGATTCCTGAGTAGAAGTGTGATAGTGTCACTATGGACTTTGTGGTTGGGTTACCTAGGACAGCTAGGAACAGTGACTCTATCTGGGTGATTGTTGATAGGTTGACAAGGTGTGCGCACTTTCTTTCTGTCAAGAGGTGGTCCTTGGAGAGGCTTTCACAGGTGTATATCCGAGGGGTAAAAGTTCTCTCTAACTTGCACCTCATCCATCTCTACCACTTGACTCGGGTCTCTGATGTACTTCCTCAACTATAAAACGTGAAACACATGTTCTCCCTCTTCAAACTCTAGAGGTTTCCTCCTCCTATCAGCTAGGACTTTTGTCGACTCTGGGTAGCCCTTAACCTTTCTTGAATCTATCTCACCAACTCAGTAGTCTAAAGAACTAACTCTAGACCAACCACTACTGACTTACCCTCGTGATACCAACATAATGGAGTCCTACACCTCCTGCCATACAAAGCCTCAAAAGGCGCCATGCCAATGCTCTAGTGATAACTATTATTATAGGTGAACTCTACCAATGGTAACACCTCCTCCCAGCTACCCAGATGATCCAACACACAAACTCTTAAGAATACTGACTTACCCTCGTGATACAAACATAATGGAGTCCTACACCTCCTGCCATACAAAGCCTCAAAAGGCGCCATGTCAATGCTCTAGTGATAACTATTATTATAGGTGAACTCTACCAATGTTAACACCTCCTCCCAGCTACCCAGATGATCCAACACACAAACTCTTATGTTGATTAAGGAGTTGGAGCTGATTGAGTAGTTTAGAGATTTGAGACTAGAGATGGTGGTTGTTCATGATCATATTAGTTATGGTATGATCACCATAACTAATGAGTTCTTTAGACAGGTGGGAACTAAGCAATTACAGGATCCAAAGTTGTTGAGGATTTTGGGATTGCTTGGTACTGAGAGGGCACCTGGTCTTATGCTCTAGTGATAACTATTATTATAGGTGAACTCTACCAATGTTAACACCTCCTCCCAGCTACCCAGATGATCCAACACACAAACTCTCAAGAGATCCTCTAGTGACTGAACTATACTCTCTTATTGACCATCTGTCTGTGGATGATAAGCAGAGCTCAACCTCATTACCTATAATAAACTTGCCCAGAACGGGCCGTTCTAAAACCCGAACGGGCCGTTCCCCTGGTTTGGAACGGGTCGTTCCACATTTAGAACGAGTCGTTCCAGTGTCTTATTTTACCCATAATGGATTAGCCAGAACGGGCTGTTCCGAATTCGGAACGGGCCGTTCTGGTCCCCTTCTGATTCCTATAAATAAGAGCCTTGGGCACAGTTTTCCAGAGGCCAGAGAAATTTCGAATAAGACTCCTTTGAGCACGAAAATTCTCAATCTCTCTCCCTTCTATTGTATTTCTTGAGATTTGTGTCGCATCTCTATCTTCTCTCTCCCTCCTATTGTATTTCTTGAGATCTGTGAGGCATATTGTAGTGTGAAAGGTCGCCACAAAGCACCTTCTCCATATTTGAAGATTCAATAAAGCTCGTTCAAGAGGTATTTCAGTCAATCTTTTTCTCTCTCTTTTATTTTTCATCTTTATCTCCTTTTTTTGTTATAACAAACTTCATAATGTAGATATTTTAGGGTTAATCGTTTAATTTATATTTTAAATATGTAAATAAATATTAATAAAGGGGATTCAATATTTAATTTATTAATTTTTATCATATTAACTTCATCATAGGGTACCGATTGAGGGCGTTGTAGGGGTGCTTAATACCTTTCCTACACGTAACCGACCCCCGAACCCAATTCTGGTTATCAAGGCCATTATTGGATCTTTAAAAACCTTTTCTTTTTCCAATGTTTTGAGTAAAATATTGGTGGCGACTCCATGAACCTATTTTCAAAACCATTGATTAAGGATTAGTCTGGTGTCCGGGCATTCCTTAATTAATGAGACTTTTAAAAGGATGTCTAAACCATAGGTCGCAAGATCAGAAATTTTCGGGTTGCGACAGTTATCGATGACAAGGGAATGGGGAATTCCGAACCTGCATATGATGCTCTTCCAGGTGAATTTCTGTACATTCTCAATGGTGATCTTGGTGAGTGGGCATGCCTCAATCCACTTGGTGAAGTAGTCGATTGCCACCAAGAGGAATTTAAGCTGACCCTTTGCGGGGGGAACGGTCCCAGGATGTCCATTCCCCACTAAGAGAAAGGCCACGGTGAAATCATCTAGTGGAGAGCTTCAGGCAGCTGTCGATGCATATTGCCGAACTGCTGGCACTCTTTGCACTTTTTCACATAGGCTTGGCAATCCGACTTCAAAGTGGGCCAGTAGTACCCGGCTCAGAGTACCCTGGTCGCCATTGAGCGTGCTCCGGAGTGCATGCCACATATACCCGGGTGGATCTCCTCTACGACATAAGCAGCTTGAGGTGCAGTCAAGCATTTGAGTAATGGGGTGGAGATGCCACGTTTGAATAGTTCGTCTCTGACAATTACGAACTTAGCCAACCTTGCCCTCATCTTTCGAGCTTCATCTTTATCCTCTGGTAAAACTCCTACCTTCAAGTAGTTCAAAATGCCTGTCATCCATCCCTGTTCTTGGCTGTCGCTAGTGTTCACGATCTTGTCATCTAAGCTGGGTGAATGCAAGGTCTCCTGGATGATGGTCCAATGTTGTCCAGGGCGTTTGGTGCTGGTGAGCTTTGACAGGAGGTTGGCTCTGGTATTTTGCTCTCGCAGTACATGATGTATGGTGAACTCGTCGAAGGACGAGATCTGCTGTGATGCCACAAGGAAATACCGTTGTAGAAGAACATCCTTGGCCTAGTATGTCCCGTTGAGCAGCTCTACCATGATTTTTGAGTCGCTGTTGCAACTCACTCTCCGTGCTCCGAGATCGTGAGCTAACCTTAGCCCTACAAGAAGTGTTTCGTACTCCGCTTGGTTGTTTGTTACTTTGAAGCCAAACTTGAGAGACTGCTCCAAGGTGACTTGATTTGGTCCTTCTAGAATAATACCTGCACCACCGCCTTTCAAATTGGAGGACCCGTCAACATGCAAGATCCATACCTGTTTTTTGTTAGCCGAGGTTGGAGTTAATTTGGCCATGAAGTTTTCCAGGCATTGGGCTTTGAGGGGGCCGCGACTTTCGTATTTGATGCCGAACTCGGACAGCTCCACTGACCATGATATCATCCTTCCGGTGAGCTCTAGCTTTCGCAAAATTTGTCTGATTGGGTAGTCAGTTTTGACGACCACCTGGTGGCTTTGAAAGTAGGGTCGGAGCTGCCGAGCTGCAGTGACCAGTGCCAGTGCCAGCTTCTCAATCATCTGGTACCGTTTCTCTGTGTCTTGGAGCACGCGGATGATAAAGTAGATCGGCGTCTGCAGTTTCTGGTGTTCTTGTACTATAATTGCGCTGATCGCGCCTTCTACCACGGCCAAGTAGAGGAGGAGGTCGGCTGTGTGATCCGGCCTCTGGAGGATTGACAGAGTCGTGAGGAAGACTTTGAAGCTCTTGAACGCCTCCTCGCACCTGTCTGTCCACTCAAAATTTATTGGCTTTCTTAGCATAGTGAAGATGGGTCTTGCTTTCTCCACGAGCCTGGGAATGAAACGGGACAGGGAAACCAACCTTCCTGCCAGGCATTGGACTTCCTTCACCATTTGAGGACTCTACATCTGAATGATGGCTTTGCACTTCTCCAGGTTGGCCTCAATCCCCTTGCTAGTGATCATCAAGCCAAGGAATTTACCTCCCTGGACGCCGAAGACGCACTTCTCTGGGTTGAGACGCATGTTGTGACTCCTGATCTGGGTGAACACCTCGGCTAGGTCGGCAGCATGATCCTCGGCCGAGGTGGTTTTTCCCACCATGTCGTCAACATAGACTTCCATGATCCGCCTGATCTGCTGGGGGAAACCCTTGTCCATCAGCCGCTAGTAAGTGACCCCTACGTTTTTAAGACCAAATGGCATCACCCGGTGGCAGAAGTTGGCGTGGTCGGTGATGAACGACGTGTGCACCTCGTCTAGTGGGTACATCATGATCTAGTTGTATCTGGAATAAGCATCGAGAAAGCTGAGGAGGGCGTGCCCGGATGCTCCATCGACTAGTCTGTCGATACTCGATAAGGGATACAAGTCCTTGGGGCAAGCTTTGTTCAAATTAGTGTAGTCGATGCACATGTGCCACTTCCCCGAACTCTTCTTCACCAGGACCATGTTTGCCAGCCACATGGTGTACCTGACCTCACGGATGAAGCCTGCGTTTAGTAGCTTATGCGTCTTGGTGATGATGACCTCCCGCCTTTCACCACCGACCTTCCTCTTCCTCTAGGCGACTAGCCTCGCCTCCTTGTGAATTGCCAACCTGTGGCAGATGAAGTTAACATCTATCCCTGGCATGTCGGCGCTGGACCATGCAAAGAGGTCGGCGTTCTTGGAGATTTCAGCTTCGAGCTGTCACCGTAACTTCGAGTTCAACTATTTGCTGATTTTCGTGCATTGCCCTGGAAGCTTTCCGATCTAGAGGTCGTCGAGCTCGTCGATGGGACTCGGCCGTTCATCATGGGAGTCCGACCTCGGATCTAGGTCAGTGATATCCACGTGGGTGATGTGAGCCACTGTGGGGGGATCATTTTAGCAACGCTCGTCGGATGAAGAGACTTTCAGACTTTCGGCGTAGCATTGTCGAGCTGTCTTCTGATTTGCCTTGACGGAGATAATCTTGCCATCACTCCCTGAAAATTTCATAGTGAGGTGCGGGGTAGACACCACTGCTCCGAGTTGGTTCAACGTCGGCCTTCCAATAATTATGTTGTAGGACGTGTTGGCTTCCACGAGGAGGTATTGGATCATAATCCTCCTTGTGTCGGGAGAGGTTCCGAAGGTTGTCAGCAGGTCCACGTATCCTCGGGTGTGCACTCGCTCTCCTGCAAATCCAACTAGTGGTTCTGTGTGAGGTTGGATAAGGGAGTGAGGGATGTCTAACCTGAGGAACATCGGCCAATATAGGACGTCAGCCGAGCTTTCTTGATCAATCAACGTCTTGTGGGCCTCCCAATTGGCGACCTCCACGGTGATGTCCATTGGATCGTCCTGGTTGGGGCAGACGCTAGTGTAGTCGTCGTCGGTGAAGGTGATCGGCGGTGAGCTTTGGTGCAAGGCCGAGGTAGCGGAGTGGACGTTGTTGATACTGCGCAGGTGTCTTTTGCGGGCCGAGATGCTGGATCCTCCCCCTGCAAAGCCTCCTACAATTGTGTTGATTACTCCCCGTAGGGGAGCTGATCTTGTTTCCTGGCTTACCTCGGCCTGCACTACGCCACCGGCATTTTGCTGAGAGCCAGAGGGTTGGTCCGCGCGAGCTCCCGAACCACGACCTCTGCCCTGTCCTCTACCATTGTAGCCTCCTCGGTGGCCTTGCTGTCGTTGGACGTATTGGTCGAGGTGACCGTGATTTCTGTGGTATCTGTAGTGCTTGGATTTGTCTGCACTGTTGGGGTTGTGACCTGGGGGTGGCAGGGTGAGTAGGTTGCTGTTGCTGGCCTCCTCCAGGATGTGCACTCGGGGCGTATTCAGGGGAGTGTAGAAGTCGTATCTTCCCCCCTTATTTGCCCTGGCAGTCTTCTTGAACTGGTTGTCATTGGTGACCTTCATTTTGTCTTTGTGACCATGGTCCGGCTTCGCTTGTGATTTTCCGCGAACCTGGTCACGAAAAGCGGAGTGCTCTTCCATCTGTATGTACCCTGCAGCTCGGGCACGGAGTTCGTCCATGTTGGCGGGAGCTCGGCGACACAGGCTGTCCACAAAAGGTCCTGGCTTGAGCGCCATGAGCATGGCATGCAGGGCGACCTCAGGGTTCAGGTTCTGAATCTTCACCGAGATGATGGCAAAGTGCTCCATGAACGCCCTCAGTGATTCGTCGTCGCCTTGTCGGAGACTGGCCAAGGCGACGGAGGTGACATGGTGAGGTTGACTCGTGGCATACTACACGGTGAATCGCCTTACCAGGGTGTCGAAGTTATCAATCGACTCAGCAGGTAACTAGGTATACCAGTTGAGTACAGCCCCCTTGAGCGAGGTTAGAAAAACCCTACACAGAATAGCATCATTATTAGTGTAAAGGTTTACCTGCGTAATATACAGGTCAATGTGCTCGTCCGGATCCGTCGTTCCGTCGTAGCAGTCGATGTGGAGGGGTTTCCAGCCAAAAGGTAGGGGGGTCTCCATAATGCCATCCACAAAAGGATGGTGGCGGATGCTCGTCCGATTGCCTGGAGCCTGGGCAGGAGCAACGCTGACTTCATGGGCCGACCTGTTCGTCGGTGCGTGTGACCGATGTGTGGCAGGCCGGGGAGTCGGTGCCCTAGGTGCTGTCGGTGGTTGAGAAACCAAATGCCCCTCTTCCTCGTGCTGGTTACTCGATTGAGGAGGTTGATCAGAAGGGCGCCGAGGAAGCTGGGCGCGAATACGCTCATTCTCGGCGCGCAGCGTTGCTAGGTCAGCTTCGTTAGCGGTACGCAGCGCCGCTAGATCAGTTTCGTGCTTAACACGCATGCTTTGCAGATCGGCGGTGTGCTGTTGCCGCATTTGTTCGACCTGCTCGATCATCCTTCTCAATGTTGCTTCGTTGTCCATGCTTGTCGTGTGATCTACGTCGTCTGTTACTCGTCTACTATGGCTTCGGGTGAAAACCATAAGTGTGGCCGATAAGAGCTGTCTTGATCGGCCCCACGGTGGGCGTCAAATGTTCTTACCGGAGATCGGTCGTAGGGGACGATCTGCTGGGTAAGATCGGCAAGCCTCCTTCACCGGTACGCTTTTTGCTCTAAGATGGGGGTGGTACCTGCAAAAGAGACTCCGATGCTAAAGTTAGTAATTGTGGGAATATGAGTCTCGTATAAGTAATGCACATACCTTTGTGTGGATTAGAGTTTTGCTGGGCCTTGGGCCTGAGATCAGTCATGACCTGTTTAAGTAGCGGACCTCGTCTTGGCCGAGGTCACCCAGCGCGTGTCCGAGGTCATCCTGCACTGTGATGCCGAGCTGGAGCTCGGCTTCGCGATACGGATAGTACAAAAGTAATATATTCTTGTGAGATCTATATACATACAAATTACAAATTAAGAAATTAATGAGCAACTCCATCTGAAAATGCTTTTAGAAACTATATTCCTAAAAAAACAATGGCTTTTCAAATGAGACTCCTACGCGCTATACATACAAAATTAACCATCCCCTGTTTTTATTTTGTCTCTTATTCCATCCTTAATTATTTAATAATAATGAATAGGAAAAACTTTTACAAAGAAAATCCTAATATTAGATAATGCATTGCTTTCATTACAAAAATAAAAAATAAAAATACATTTCTTTAATTATTTACTTTTGACTGGACAATGAAGCTTTATTAAAATATGTAAGAGATTTATGAAAATAAAATTTGTACAAATACCAAGATCACTTCAATTTCTTTGTTTCCCAAAAAAACTAATCAGTGTGTGGCCTATGTTTTATGTAACCATACCTAACCCAAATTGGATCAGGCTTGAAGCCCTCCGAGTTGTACATGTTAATAATAATAAATATAATGGACCATGCCTATAAAATGCTTGATATTTAGTATTCTTTTTTATTTATTATTATTATTATTATTATTATCATCATTATTATTATTATTATTATTATTATTATTATTATTATTATTATTATTATTATTATTATTATTATTATTATTATTACATTATGGTAACGGTGTCCTTGACCATGAGCAATTATTAATGAAATTGTCTTTCTTTCTTTTTTTCTTTCTATTGTGGACCATGGTAGGACGCTATATATGGTGCATTTAAGAGGATGTCTATTGGATGAATGATTATTGTACCTACTTTGTTATAACGGTATCTCGCAATAAATAAAATAGTTAGATGGGTTTGTATGTCAATTTCAACCAGTTAGTCAAGGCGTCAAAGTAAGATAAAATTTATTATTTAATAAGTTGCTAGTTTTTATTTATTTATTATTTTTAATTCCTATTATTATAAATGAAAAAATATAAATATTTTAGTAAATAACTATTGAAATTTATATTTCTTTTTATTTTGAGTAAAGGCAAGGCACCCTAACCTCCCATGTCTTGAATTTTTTTATGCTGAAAAAATGAAATGTTCGTGTTGTTTAAATGAGAAATTTTTTGTTAAGCTAGCATCTCTTAAACCACTGTTATTTTCTATGGAAGTAATCAATGGATGAGATTTATCTAGCTAGTTACTTAGACACACAACCCCACTAGTATAAATGGGAAGATCTTTGTAATCATTAATTAGTATCTTTTTATATTCAACTGATTTTTTTTTCAATTAAGGAAAATGAAACAGCTGAAAAAAAAAAATTGTTGAAGGGTAGCATCACCCATTACATCATCAAGATAAATTTGATAAAGAGAGGAAATTCTCGTGAGATTTCCACATTTGTCAAGTCAATCTGCGCAATTATTGTCTTCTCAGTATACAATTTTAATAATACACAGTAAGTAAAAGAAGAATAAAAGATTAAAATATTGACAATTAATTAAATTATAAGAAGAATAAATTTGAAAATATTGAGGAGTTATTGCAGGAGTTGTTTTAAATATTAAAAGATGTTGATATTCTAGACAACTAATA